GCGAGGAAGTCCCTAGTTATATTGTCCTCACGAGTAGACAGCACTATGGACTTCCAGAAGACTGTATTGTATATTGCAACTTTAACCAACTGTACAAAATAGATCCGCCCACGATGAAGATGTGGGTGGATATTCTTAAGTCAGTCCCTGGCTCTGTTATATGGTTGTTACGCTTCCCGGCCTCTGGCGAATTAAACATATTATCTACAGCTACTGAAATGGGCTTAGCTAATGCCCAAAGGCGCATAATATTCAGCAACGTGGCGCCCAAAGAGGAGCACGTTCGGAGGGGGCTGGTATGTGATTATTTTTTATTTGTTCTTTCAGGTTGCCGATGTTTGTTTGGACACCCCTTTATGCAATGGTCATACAACTGGAATGGATGTCCTCTGGGCTGGTTGTCCAGTTGTTACTCTGCCTCTGGAGTCCTTGGCAAGTAGAGTTGCTGCAAGTCAACTGCACACTTTAGGTTGCCCTGAACTTGTGGCGAAATCTCACGAGGATTACGTTAAGATAGCTTCTCGTCTAGGCACAGATAGAGAGTATTTACAAGCGATGCGCGCAAAGGTTAGTTTTTTTTTATCAAAATTCATTTTATAGGTTTGGAAAGCCAGAGAGTCCTCTCCACTTTTCAATTGCCGTATTTATACTTCTGATTTGGAGCAGCTCTACACACGGATGTGGCATCATTACGAAGCAGGGCAAATAGAGCATATCATAAGTTGGAATTCCAAAGCTAAAGAGTGATTTTCGCATCCAGCCACATAATCATGTTTGCCCTACGACTTCTCTGAGCACGCGGATTCTTTGGAGCCAAACCTGACTCGACCTTGTTATCATTGCTTATTTATTACAAGCTCTTACTATTCTCCTTTTTCTTATTGAACCCGGCTTATAGTCGCTACACTTCACTTGTACAGATGCACTTCTGAACTACTCTCTGTCTATCAGACTGGTCCCTGCGTTCGTATCACAAATTGGACGGATGCATGTCTATTTTCTCGCTATTTCTATCTCGTCTTTAAGCAGAAATGCTTAGCATTTTTAGCGAAATCGTTTTTACTGGGGTGCGACCTGGCAAGGCCTAGTGAGGAGTTTTCTCGTCATATAAGCTAACACGATTTGCTTAATGGACGTTGTGTGGGAGATGTGATTCCTTGCCTTATGGCGCATCTGGCGGAAATTTCCTGGTAATCCAGGGAAAGTGTTCTCTGGTTTAGCCATCAATCTTAGGCCCGGTGGCTCTGTCGGGTTGTTTGCGGCCTGGGTCAACCGATTTCAGTATTGCATCCGGATACAAGACTAACTAAGGGCACGGGAACAAGCGGTCCCTTAGGGCGTTGGATAGCCAATGGGTCGTACATGTCAGGATGTTTCCATTATTCAG